CCCATCGCTATACCGTCTGAGCTATATCATTAAATCAAGGTGATTACAATTTGCTGACAAGTAGCTCCGATTGGGAAGAAAAGTATGAAATAATTTCTGTGGGGGAGATCATTTTCCGACACCGTAATTGAGTATTAATTTCTTCTTTGTTACATTTTGGCTTTCCTCTCATCATTTCGTCTTCTCTGTGACCTGGTTGGAAGACGACTATAAACAGTTATATAGCACAAAACCGACCGATGTCCACTAATAGTGCCTTGCTTGGAGATCGCTGATTTCAAATACAGTCGCCGTGCGGCTGAACAGAGAAGTGTCATATATTATTCTTATGAAGGTCTTATTTGATTGCACTCACAGTTACATAATCGTTTATTGCAGAGCACATACAGAGTCGGCAAGTCGCTTTAATTGTCTTATTGGACTATAACAATCCTTAATTGTCTTCAGATCTCTTACTATAACTGTAGCTTGGATGGATGGAATAGGAAGTTCAAGTGATTGTAAATTTATTGAACAAACAAAGTGCATTGTTAGGAATATATAGGTTTTCTAAAAGAATATAAATTTTCCTCTGGTTTTGTATGAGTGTGAAACTTGTTTTCTGACATAGAAGGAGGAACATAGACCGAGGGTGTTTGAGAAGAGGGTGCTATGGAGAATAATTGGAACTAAGATGGATGAGGAGATAGGAAGTTGGAAGGGCCGCGCCATAGCTCAAGCGGTTAGTCGCTGGCTTCCCATCGCGGCGACCCGGGTTCGATCCCGGGTCTGGTTAAGTGGGATTTATGATGGACAAAGTGGCGCTGGGGCAGGTTTTCTCCGAGTATTTCCGTTTCCCCTGCCAATCTTCATTCCACCAATTGCTCCACAATCACCCTCACCTATCATCGGGCTGGTACAATAGGCCAGAAGTGGCCGTAGTACAAGGGACTTGTGGGCTCTTGTGAATGCTGTAATTAACTTTCGATCACAAAAGAATTAGGGAAAATTCTTGAATAACTGAGCGACTGGCTGCTACTCAAGAAGGACTTAGCTTCATGGAGTTAGTTTATCTGGTGTTATACAGAGTGTCCCAGGAGGAATGTGCCAAACTTCGGGATGGTGTTCCTTATGTTATAGTATGCCGATATAACCCAAAACACCTATGTCCAAAGTTGAACGGTTACGGAGATAATGGCCCGAGAAAAGTGTGGTCTTCTGGCGAGTCCACGCACTGTACCTGTCAGCTGGCATGTCTTATCTACGTTTGTCCTTGAGTGTGGTGATGGCAGCTCACGTTAGCCCCATACACTCGCATACCAGAACGCGCAGTCAGCAATGTTACGTCAGCGCTTGCCATTCATGTATCATGTATAGTGCTTGGAACTCTTAACGACAACTTTGACATGGCGTGCGAGTTTTTTGTAGTTCAATTTAATGGCTTCATGTCACTCACAAGTTAGTTTGATGTTACGTACATTATTAACATTACAAAAACCACATATTCCTGCCAGTTTTAATATGTATTTTATAATCAACAAGTGTGTAACACTGGTCAAAGTTTCACACTTCTCTGGCCATTATCTCCGTAACCGTTCAACTTTGGACATAGGTGCTTTGGGTTATATCGGCATACTATAACATAAGGAACATTCATATGCCAAACATAAGTTTGGCACATTCCTCCTGGGACACTCTGTATATAGTATTGTTATACAGAATTGTCACATTTTTAAGACCACATCTTGTAATTGTATCCGATAAACAATACTGGGATACATTAATTTTGAGATAATATTTGCCATCTGTTATAAGGTAAATGACCTGTAAAAAAAGCTATCCCTGTAACAGGCCGTGAAGTTCCATAGGGTTGAGAGACGTCGAGGCTCCCACATTTTCTTCTAGACAGTCGGCTTACAGATGGCGGTAAGATTGTCAGCCTAACATACCGGCCGCCCTTTACCCCCAGGAATATTCCTGGTATTCATTTCTGTTAGAGGCTGAGTCGACCCTAGGGCAATAGTGCGGCTGGAGGGATTAGGTAAATTGAAAATATCCACCTCATCGGGACTCGAATCCGCGACATTCTGGCTTGTAGCATAGTGCCCCAACCAAGTACGCTACCGCGTGCCCCGGTAAATGACCTGTATCATATTAAACTGTTGATAGGTGTTTGCCTTCTGCCTTTAAGTGATTATTGTTGGTATCACAGCCCTACCACCTTCGGTCTTCAACGAGTGCGTGACACACTGAAGTTGAGAGCACTGTACTAGGCCAGGCCCTTGTGAAATGTATGTGAGTGCACGTTTTGTTTTCATATAGGCTTTCCAAATACGCACTCCGGCTATGAGAGCATAAAGATAGCGCTGGTTGCAAAACATTCCGTGAAGAGTGTATTATAATATAACTGAGTCTCCAAGTGCTGAAGCCCATCCTATTTACCCCCTTTTTTTTATCGAGTGTTACTTCGCTTATCGAAGTTGTCGTTCACACTTTCAGAAAGTAAGATAAGTCTTCTTATTCGCAGTTCTGCCTGTTACCATATTTTATTTAGAGCAAAGCTCTCTCCCTGAGTTCCAAATGTTTGTTCCTGGATAGATTCTTAAGGTTCTTAGCTTTGGTTTTAGGTTCATGTGTAGACTGTGCTGATGGCTGGTTTGCAGTGAGTTGTTAGTATTAGAAACAGTCTATCACAGTTCATTTAGTGAGACTAATGTATAACACCCAGCATTGCCAAAATTGAAAAAAAAAACGAACATTAGATTTTGCTAAAGGGCGAAATGGGAGAGCATTCTACCACTCTAATTTAGAGCATTTTGCTTCTTAGTTCAGCCATGTAGTGGCTGATCGTTTGAGAAGTTTTCAGTACCTCTCTTATCAGTGAAAGACTGAAATATTCATTATCATATCACACTTTGTATATCACAGTTCTTTGGATGGGAGGGGGGTCCAAAGTTGTGCGTAGAACCTCAGGTATTTCACATAAAAGCGGAGAGAAAGTCGGTGATGTGCAGTGAAAGTGGGTCACGTTGAAAATGTTGTCACTATATACCGAAAAGGCGCCGGTCACGATAGCCGAGCGGTCTAAGGCATGCACTGTCTACGCTCGCTCGGAAGCCGGGATCGTGGGTTCGAATCCCACTCAGGGAATGAATGTTTGTGTGCGTTTTTCTGTGTTTGTCTACAGGTAGAGGCCTTGCGACGAGCTGATTACTCTCCCAAGGAGTCCTACCGAACGTGTAAGATCTAGTAAACCGAAGTGAAAACGGAGAGTTTAATGGAGGTAGGCCTAGGCCCAAATTTGGGCTGTAGCACCACAGAAAAAGAAAAAGAAAGTACCGAAAAGGCCGGTCACGGTAGCCGAGCGGTCTAAGGCATGTACTGTCTTCGCTCGCTTGGAAACCGGGATCGTGGGTTCGAGTCCCACTCAGGGCAGTTTGTGTGTGTGCGTTTTTGTGTGTTTCTGTACAGGTAGAGGCCTTGCGACGAGCTGATCACCCGCCCAAGGATTCATACCGAATGTGTAAGATCTATAAAAACCGAAGTGAACGGAGAAGTTCATGGAGGTAGGCCTAGGCCCACTGGGACTGTAGTGCCAAGAAAGAAAAAAAAAATGTACCGAAATGAAACTTAGCCTTAGGAATATTGCTGTTTTTATTCTTTGCCGATGCTTTGAGTCGAACCCCAATGCTTCCACATAAAAAGAGAAACAAAGGCTTTCCTCAACGAAAGCGAGTTACCGTATTTACGCATGTATAGGCCGCAGCACAATTTTCAGACAGAAATTATAGAAAAAATAATTTTCTTGGAATATTTTTTCAGGAGTATTACACACT